TTCTCCAGGTTAATTTTCTTCTGAAACAAGGTACATAGGTTACAACATACCTAAAGAAGGGGAAAAGCTAAAGAACATTAGTTAATCGTAGCTTATCTTTGGAGTATAAGCATTTAAGTTCACATTAAAAAATTTAATTACACTATCTATGAAATGCACACTTAATAATATCACAGTCTAGGCACTTTGGATGAATCTTACTTCATAGTGATATGAACACTATGAACCCAAAAATGATTGTTATTTATTAACTACCTTTATTAATTAGTAGTGTGACAAATTTTTCAGTTCTTTGTGCATATGCCTGCTCTCCCTTCACCTGGATTATACATTAAACCTTCTAGTTATTTTTACCTATAGTATTCACACAGACCTAGAATCAGGAAGAAAGAAAAGGAGGGAAGGAAGGAAGAAAACTAAAGAAAGAAAAAAGAAAGAAATCAATTGTGGGTAAATTAAGATGTTAATTGAAATAAGATTCTATGCACTGTTCTTAGACTAATAGGAGAAAAGAACCAAACACAGTGGCTTAGGACATTGTGCTTATGGCCAAGGTTAGAGTTGGGTCCCTAGGGTTTTTTCACAGTGTTCCTACCTCTGTTCCACCAGCAGAGGGTAACGGCTGTAATGATATGGATTGTTCCTGGCTCAGCATCTTACATGCAGAAGGTGCTCAATGATCACTGAAGGCATTACATGAACAAAAAAATGAAAATCGGCTCACAGGACTCTTACAGAATGAAGTTAGCAACGGCAGACTTCAATAGGTGAAGAACAACTCAAGAGGACAAAACCACTTAACTACTTAAGTGGTTAATAATAACATTTTGTTTACAACATTATAATCTAAATTCAAGGATGTGTGCATGTGAAGTTGCTTCAGTCGTGTGCGACTCTGCACCCTTATGGACTATACTCAGCCAGGCTCCTCTGTCTGTGGGATTCTCCAGGCAAGAATACTGGTGTGGGTTGCCCTGCCCCCCTTCAGGGGGTCTTCCTGACCCAGGCATTGAATTTGTGTCTCCTACATCTCCTGTATTGGCAGGCAAGTTCTTTACCACTAGTGCCACCTGGGAAGCCCAAATTCAAGGACAGACATCTCTAACCTTGCTGTTTTGTCATTATAAGGTAATCAATTAAAGGAGGAAAAAATATATATCCAGTTAGTGTCAATGTGCTTGGCCAGGCATCATAGCCATGTGAATTAGTAAACATAATTGAGCACACAGCCATCCCCACATTCTAATTATGTCACCTTGGGGGACCAATGGTATAACCCTGAAATGGAGATAACTCCTTCAGTATCTTTCTCCTACTAGAGTTTTGTGCATATTAAATCAAGTTGTGAAGAGATCTGAAGATTAAAAATCCCTGCTTGTTATTGCTGTTAGCTCTCAGATTCAGCACCAAATCAGAAAAAGTTGTAAAAATCATCTCCATCCCCAGATTTTGCATTCTTCAGAATGATTCCCCTGATGCAGTAAGATGAATTAGGTGAAACGGGTTTTGACTGCAATCACTTACAGGCAGGATTTATGAATGGAAACATGGGAAGGCCACTCTGGCCAACTGTGAAGCCCCACACTTTCTTCCCGGGCTATTTATAGAAAATTATATGGCCAGGGGGAAAGATCACATTTATTTTTACAAGCCACTCATGACACGACTGAAGAACTCACTTCCTCTCTCTGGGAAGGTCACCCTCTTCACCTGAAGGTGCAGATACAAGAGTGACAGGAAAGAAGGGGACCCCCTCCACCCTGGCCAATTAAGTCAGCCTGAGTCAGCTTCAGAGACCAACCCACAGGGTGACAGGCATGCAAGTCAAACATCCTCATTTCCCAGGCATGACTGCTCCTTGAGATGTCACCTAGATCATGACTAACAAGTAAAAATAAAATGCATTACATAATAGGGTTCAAAATTCTACTGCTGAAATAGGTTGCACAGAGATAAGGAAGTGCATTTTGACTTATCATTTGTGCTACATTTCGAACAGCTGAACACTATAAACTAAGACTGAATTTTAAAGGACATAGCAACATGGAGAGGGTGAAAAAACATTTTACGTGAAACAATATTTTACAAGCAATTATATTGTGATTGCCATATTATCCCTGAAATATGTAGTACACCTGGAGAGTTCCATGCAAATGTGGAGACTGAGTACATATTTGCTGATTCTCAAAAATCATCTTTTACCTTGACTGAAATCTGATATCATTTAGCAAATAACATATATAGTTTCACAAATCATTCCTTGGTCTTATGTAGTGTATAGGGTACCTATTGGAATATAAAGTAAAGCCAAACCACTGTTTTCCACCAGAATGTCCTTTGTCAACGCTGTCTGTGGTACAGAAAAAACCAAGATGGAGCAGGAAAGGGAAAGTGCAGGATGGAAGAGACAAAGGGAACGAAGTGAGACTTTACTCCGCAGAAACCTTCCAGGGAAAGTGTGTCATCTTACTGAGCTCATGCATCATAATCACTTGAAAATGATATGGGTATAATTTTATCCTTAAGTGGCCTCTGCTTAAGGACAAAGACACAGGGCAAGAAGAGAATTTCGTTTGAGAACCTGGAAGATCACTAACAAAAATTGAAAACAACAGATATGGGCTTAATTTCTCAAACTCATCGACATTTTTTAGAAGTCTGTCTCTAGAAAGTTTCTTCTAAAAAGGAGGTCGAGGGATCGGGATGGAGAATACATGTAACTCCATGGCTGATTCATGTCAATGTATGACAAAACCCACTGAAATGTTGTGAAGTAATTAGCCTCCAACTAATAAAAATAAATGAAAAGAAAAAATAAATAAATAAATAAATAAAAAGGAGGTCGCTATTTTACCAGGAAGACCCAAAATACTTCTCAACCTGTTCATCCAGCTTCCAAACCAACATTCTTTGGGGTTCTAGAAGACACAGCAATGACATGCAAATGAGTTTGCCTGAAGAAATAGCCTGATTTCCACAACTGTCCTTGAGCACACGTTCCGAATGAAGTTAGAGCTGAGTATTAACATCCGTGGCAGGCACAACTCTCAGTCTCTGTAATGTAACCTAACAGGAATCTCCTTGCACTTTGCCAAAGAGGAGATACTGACACCTATCAGCAGACTTGCAAAGTGTATTCATGATCCCATTAAGAGGTCCTAAGTCAAACACGGACATACGTGAAGTTTACGTCTGTGTGCAGTTAACACACAAGGATATTGGTTCCTCCAGGGAGTTGTGCCGAACCTCTCTGTTTACAAATACAGTAGCGATTAAAAGCATAAACAAAAACAGCAGTGTTGGCAGGAGCACCAGCCTACCAGTGCTGAGGTAAGTGTGCATCTACCTTCTGTGCTTGATCTAAATTGTACCATGAAGTCAAGACTTTCCCATTCAATGACTTATTTGGCTCTTCACCAAGAGGAATTGTCAGAAGTGTGATAAGCATTTAAATCACCTCACTAGTTTGTGTTAATCTAGAGTTGCCATTTCAGGACCAGGATAGCATTTATGAGAACTATCTTAAGTAACACTAGCCAGTGTGGTTGTCAGACAGGATCTCAGGAAGGTGTTTCCCAAATTTTTCAATGACCTAGGGTGACTGCCGTTCATTTCCACAGTCTGGACCCAAATGAGACTTCAGTGCTTAACTAGGCAAAGGTCATCTTATTTAGCTTAAACTACAATTCAAGTAACACACTCCTGATTTTTCATAACACAACTGCCAAATTTATTCCTGAATACTATGATTTTAATTTTAAGCAAGGATAGATGGGCACAGTCACGTTCTCCAGTGACTAGGAACCATAGCTACAGTAGTGGGTTGGTTTCTTCTCCGTGTAGAGAAGGCAAATGTTCTGCATGTCCTGGTAAGCAACTTTTGGTCCTACCAAAAAAAACCAGCACCATCTTCCTTCCCTCCTGAGTGGAATGTTAATCCTTGATTTGCAATCAAGTAAGAAAAGCTTACTCCTACTGCTCTCCCCTTGTAAGAAACCATTGGTATTTTTGAGGACCAGTCATTTGGGCATTGCTTCAAAAGGCACATTTATTCCAGTGGCAATTTAAATCAGTAGAGAAGGAGAGAATAAGATTAAAAACAAAGCAAAAAAAAAAAAAAATCAGGTGGGTTTTATGGAATACATTAAAGTAAACAGGAATCTGGGATCTATACAAACCATTTAGCTCCCTCTCAATAGTTTAACCAGAGTCCCTACGGTAGAATAATTCACAGTTGTATCAAGACACACACAGGTCTCCAAAAAATACTGTGTAAAAAAGTAGCTGAGAACTCTCAAGCAGCTTGCCCTGATGTCCAGTTCAAGTGTATGCAATGCAGAAGGGCTGCAAAATTTAAAACTACACAACACACAACAAAGAAAATTCAGTGCAGATAACAGGCTTTGATAAATTATGAAAAACCATTGTATATATTACTATTTAAATAACATCTGAGAAAACATTTTGAAATAATTAACATGTGTTCACAGTCCATGCATTTTCTAGCAGGTTAAACCCTGGGTTTGTGTCTCTGTGCTGATTTTCTACAAAGGTCTATTCCTAGACAAATCCAAGCATTCATCAGAACCAAATGGAAGTACCCAGGGATTTCGTCTACTTACCCTCTTTACTCTGTGCCTGACCTCACAAGGGTCACTTGCTATTACCTCTGGCAGAGAAGACGACTGGAAAATCGAACCGTTTGGGGTTTTAGTGGGGGTTTTATTCGCTGCCTTAGAAGAATCCCTGATGCCACAGACACCATCTGAATTTTCTCCAAGGACAAGAACCAGCTGCCCTATCCCTCCCGTTTGCCCACCTCCCTCTTTCAAAGCCCCAGGTGTGCTGAGACCCTCCTGCCTTGCTGGACTTTCCCCCTGTGGTTTCGCAGCACCCTGCTCAAGCAAAGAAGGAAACACGACAAAACTTCAAAACAAACCAACAACAGAAACTCCCAACAAACTGGTGGGCGAGCCGGCAGCCTCCCCCAAGGAGGAGGCTCACTTTTTACTGCAGAATTCTGCGCTGCTGAGGAACTTCTTGATGACCAGCCCCAGGCAGACAACCAGCAGCAGCATGTAGCCCACGGTGCCCAGGAAGGTGGGCGCGTCCGGTGGCTCCTTGAGGAACTGGCGCAGGCCCTCCTCCACGTAATACACCTGATCGTAGATGCTGAGGAAAGTGAAAATGTGGAAGAGCTGGTGGCTGTGGCCGATGATGTCGAAAAGGCCCGGCTGGATGCGCTCGGGGATCTTGCTCACGTTGAAGAAGGCAGCCACCACCAGCCAGAAGTAGCGGCGGTAGAAGTGCACGAAGAGCGTGGGGTTCTCCCCGCGCAGGTCAAAGAGCCAGCTCTCCAGCATGATGGGGCAGGCCATGCTCAGCGGCATGACGAAGACGAAGGTGCGAAGCGCGAACGGGTAAGAGCACCAGTCGGTGCGGCTCTTGCAGCAGGCCACGGTGCAGGCCACCGCCAGCACGAAGGCCACGGGCAGCACGAGCGCGCGGTAGGCGGCGATGAGGCCCGTGCAGTCCACGTGCCAGCCCAGGCGCTGCTGCACGTACGGGGTCATCACCCGGGCGTCCAACAAGCTCAGGCCTGGCAGTAGGTAGTAGTAGTAGGCCACGGTGCTGCCGAAGCCGTAGTAGCTGATGGACGCGTAATCTAGGTAGAAGAAGGCGGCGCGCAGGCGTAGCGACAGGCAGCTGAACACGTGCGCCGTGCAGCTCATGGCGAAGGTCAGCAGCACGCCCGACGCGTAGCACCACAGCGGCAGCAGCCACGGATGGTGGAAGGGCACGTCGCGGCCGCTCAGAAAGAAGAGGCGGCAGAACTTGCTCAGGAACAGCAGCAGCGGGATGAAGTGCGTCCAGAAGTTGAGCGTCTCATTGGTGGGCTTCAGCACCGAGGCCAGGCACTCCTGCGCCGTGCACGGCAGCCGTCGGTAGCCTGACAGGATGAAGCACTCCACAAAGTCGTCGGGCACCTCGTCCCAGCGCAGTAGCGGCTTGGCGGATGCCGGAGAGTCCCCGGAGGCCAAGGCGTGAGGACGCGAGGCGGCCTCCGAAGCCGCCCCGGTCGTGCCAGGCGGGCCTTTTGTGCCCGCGCTCCGGGGCTGCAAGCGCCGCGGCATGGTGCCCGGTGCTTGGCTAGGACGCGCACCGGCGACCTCTGGCGCCGGCTCCTGCGCGCTCGCCAGTCCCCGCCGGCCGCCGTCGGAGCCTTTGTGCGCGCGCCGGGGGCGTCGCTGCAGGTTCAGAAGAAGACCGGAGCCTCTGAACAACCGTTCCTAAAAAATAAAGAAATAAATACAAGTAATCATCGATCTCCAAGCCGCGTACCAACCGGCAGGAGCGCGCGGGGCACGGCGGCCCCTTCGCCCGGCTCTCCGCTACCGGCTCGCGGCCGCCCGCGCTGCGGCAGCGGCGGCGGCGCGACTGACTGCGGCGGCGGCGGCGCTGCTGCTGCGGTGACTGGGCATCGCGCGGTGCGGGCGCAGCCGCCGCCGCCCCCGGCTCGGGAGGCGGGGATGGGGGTAGCGGAGGCGCTGGAGGGAGGGAGGGACGGGCGCACCGAGGGAGGGCGGGGGCCTCCCGGCTAGTGTTTCGCGGCCGCCTCGGGGGATAGAGTTGTCCCCGGTCTCGAGTTCCGTACCATCCCTCCCCCGCTCCTCGGGTCGCCGAAGCCCGAGCTGGCGATTAATGATTGATGCGGGGGCCAAAGGCTGCGCCAGCGACTCGGCGGCCCGCACCGAGGGCGAGGGTCGGCTTCGGGATTCGAAACCCGACAGCCACGCGGGCGTTCGAGAGGACACTGGGGAGCCGCGTTCGCGGGGCGGGGGGGGGGGGGGGGGGCTGCGGCCGCAGAAGCGGGGAAAGAGGGTGGGAGGAGAGCGGCGGGCGAGTCCGAGCCGGGGCAGGGCGCAGGGATGTGCCAACCATAATCTCGGAAGCGGGCGGGGGCGCTCCGGCAGTCTGGATCAGGCCGTGTCGTTGTCATACCTGGGACCGCTCCTCTCTTGACGTGTGTGTGTGCATGCGTGCGCGCGCGCCGTCCTCACTCTTAGCACCATGTCAAGCGTTGGTTTATCTCCTTTCGTCTAGCGGACTTATTCAGGTGCGTCACCAACCTCCTTTCGTCCTTGTCCGATTCAAACGAACGGCCCTCTAAACTGGCCTATGGTCGTGATCACCAGCCCTTGGGGGTCGCAGCCCACCCGTGTCCTGTGTCTTTAACTAGGAATCTTGTTTGGAGCCCAGAGTCCTACAACTCAGGGCGGGCTGCTCAAACTCAGCATTTTAATGAAAAAATTCAGATGAAGACCAGGGGATCCGGAAAGCCTGTAATGATCTGAGAAATTTATTAAGAAGGGATTCCCAAGCAGAGCTGTGCCCGAGTCAAGGGCTGATTATAAGTGGGGATGTTGATGACGCAAGACCTCAGGGAGGAGGTGCGTTCTAGCCCGAATTGAAAAGAGAACGGAGATGAATTCGTGGAGATTGGGAGGGGTGGCTTGGAAAAAGCTTTATGCATAATTTAGCAGAAGTACCTGGCAGGCTAGGTTGAGTGGCTGGAGGCCAGAAGAAAGGAAGACTGAAGAATGGAAAACGGTTGTGATGCACTGCTCTGTGATAATATGCCCTTGAGCCTTGTGAAAAGAGGGACTAAAAAACCTGCCTCCGGTAAAATGTTTTGTCATTTCTAGGAAGTTTCCCTTAGAGATGCCCTGGGGGTGTGACTGAGTCCGACTTGTATCACTGACCTGCTGTATAGTGTCATGACAATAGAGGCTAACATTTAAGGAGCCAGGCATTGTTCTAAGTGCTTTACAGTTTTAAAAATCATTTAGGTATTATTATTTTTCCCATTTTACAGATAAGGAAGTGGAAGCACCACAAGGGTAAATAATGGGCCTAGTTGGCAGAAGGGGGTTATGAACCCTGCAAACTGCTTCTGGACCTTATGTACTTAAAGCAGAACATCCAACAACCTGATTTGCTCAACTATTTTCATTTCATAAATGAAAGGCCGCTTTCTTCACTATAACAAATCCTTTAAGTAGGTCAAGGAAGGTTTACTGAGTGGTGGCTCAGGGGACTTAAGTTATGGATAAGAATTATTTATAACTAGGAAATCATTCAGTATTGTAAACGTCTAAAATTACTTAAAGGTATCAGAAACAAGTTTCAGCCTTCTCTTTCAAAAACAATTTTTTTTTTCCTATTAGTAACTGCTTTAGCAAGCTCTTACACAATTAGGCCAAAGGTGCACTTGGGTCTTGTGCCTTTCTGAACTATCAAAAATTCTTTATTGATGGGTTTTAAATAAATGAGATTTTGCTGTAGTTAACTGTATCTTGTTTTAGTATTTTGTTTTGCTACTGTCTATAGCCTTGTTTTAAAGCAAAACCTAATTTCCTTTCACATTTGGACTAAGGATCCAGGCTAATTTGTAAAAGAGATTAAGCTTCAGGCATTTATAAATCTAACCTAGGAACGATAAAACTGAATCCAGGGCAGACTGGAAAACAAAGAGTTTTTTTCTCTTCTCTTTGTTACTCCACAAACAACCTGAGCTGTAAAAAATGTTGATCTTATAATAATAATTCCCATATTTACCGACCTCTTGGTTGCATAATCAGCTCACTTACGTAATAGGGGAGAATATAATAGAAAGTTCACATCAAGTGAAATAATGGAATTGACTGTAAATAAATGTGAAAGAAACTGATTAGATGAAATAACATTCGTCTTTATGTTCATGGGATGAGACTGGCTATGATAAAAGATGGCGTTCTTTAAAGCACTCTGTATTTTATAAAGTCGAAAAATCCATCGTAACATTCTTATAAATCTTTCAGAAAGTCTTTGCAATTTCTGCTTTTCTCTTTTTTCATGTAACTGCCCTCCCGCACAAGGCACAGAATCTGCTGCAGTTTTGAAGTGGTTTTCCTGAAAGCTCTCCAATGCCAGCCAAGACAGGTGTCCTGACTATTCCCTGACAAAGCCAAGTCAAAAGGAACTAAGGAAACACCACAATTCATCTAACTTATTTAAAAAAAAAAAAGAACCAGCAATATGATTTTTTCTTAATTACTACCAATGTATAGAATTAATTTTCCTTAAGGTTTTTGAGATATAAAACCTTGTTTCCCAAACCCTACAATGGCTGGCTTTTGTAGTTTATTTTAACTCCAGTAAAATAACTGCCTCTTGGCAGTGAGAATCACAGTCCCATCCCCTGGGCTTGGCTAAACAGAGAGAAACAGTGGGCTGCCTGCCATTCCCAGAAGGTGAACTGGGAGATAAGGCATCTCTAAGGTAACTAGAACTGATTACGGAGTTCCTGATAGAGAAAAGTTACCCGTATTACATTGGAAAGTCAATGCCATCATTTAGAGGCAGAAACCAGCTAGTTCTTCCCATTGAAATCTTGCCAAACCAAGGTTGCAAGTGTATTTTTTGCAGTTCTGCGGAGACTATGTACCTTTGGTTACTAATGGGTCCTGGCTGCCAAATGCAGTCATTTGTAGAAATTGTAGCAAGCAGAACAAATGGATTTTGTCCTTGTGGTTTGCTTTGATGTCCTTAAAGATCAACTGTAGGTTTATTTGTGTTTCTCTCCATGACAATAAGATGTTCAGTTCAGTTCAGTCACTCAGTTGTGTCTGACTCTCTTGTGACCCCATGGACAGCAGCACCCCAGGCTTCTCTGTCTGTCACCAACTCCCAGAGCCTACTCAAACTCATCATCATCAAGTTGGTGATGCCATCCAACCTTCTCATCCTCTGTTGTCCCCTTCTCCTCCCACCTTCAGTCTTTCCCAGCATTAGGGTCTTTTCCAATGAGTCAGTTCTTTGCATCAGGTGGCCAAAGTATTGGAGTTTCAGTTTCAGTATCAATTCTTCCAATGAATATTCAGGACTGATTTCCTTTAGGATGGACTGGTTGGATCTCCTTAATTCTTTGGTGCTCAGCTTTCTTTATAGTCCAACTCTTACATGACTACTGGAAAAATCATGGCCTTGACTAGACAGACCTTTGTTGGCAAAGTAATGCCTCTGCTTTTTAATATACTGTCTAGGTTGGTCATAACTTTTCTTCCGAGGAGTAAGCGTCTTCTAACAATAATATGAAGCATGTATAAAACTTCCACAGTAAATATAATGTTTTCTAATAAGAATGATGAGATATTTGTAAAATCTGCAGAAAAAAAATATGATATTTGTTAACACTACACCTGTTTTGGAAGAGGTAATTTTTTTTCTAGTCTCATTTTTAGCCAAAACCAATCAAACAAGCAAACAAAACCCACTGTGAACACTGTTTAATTGTATCCGTGACTGTATGAAGAGAACTCTAAGGTTTAGTCCCTCCTTAGAATATGCAGACTAAACAAAGTGCTTCCCTTTCCTCGAGTTGAAAACAGTCGTAATGTTATCTTCCAAACTTCCATGTTGTTTGGAATTAAAATATTTGTACTATGGGCTTCCCAGGTGGTGCTAGTGGTAAAGAACCCACCTGCCAATGCAAGAGACTGAAAGATGTGGATTTGATCCCTGGGTCAGGAAGATCCCCTGGAGAGGGAAATGGCAACCCACTTCAGTATTCTTTCCCGGAGAATTCCATGGTCAGAGGAGCCTAGTGGGCAACAGTCCATGGGGTCACAGGACACAACTGAATGACTAACACTTTCACTTTCACTACTATATATAAAATAGATAACCAGCAAGGACCTACTGTATAGCACAGGGAACTATACTAAGTATCTTGTAATTTATTGTATCTTCCAATATACCTATAATCTAGAAGAATCTTGAAAAGGTGTATATATATATATATAATATATATATATATGTATTGTGTATATATATATATGTATTATATATATATGTATGTATGTATAACTGAATCACTTTACTGTACACTTGGAACTCCCACAACATTGTGAATCAACTATATTTCCATAAAAATTTTAAAAAAGCAGCAATGAAACAAACACTTTCATGTCAGATGTGATCATTACCAGATTATAGAATCAGATGCTTGATGATGGAAAAGCTTCTGGCAGTGGCATCAGGTATAACTATGGCAACTTTCAGGGCAAAGTGCAATCCAAATGTTGGGTGGAGGGCTGGAAATGATAAAGTGATGGGAGACTGAGTTCTTATCTGGCATAGTTCCTGTCTGGTAACTGACATGGTGGCAGGATTCTGTCCTTTTTTAGCCACACCACAAGGCTTGTGGGGTCTTAGTTCCCTAACAGTGATTGAACCTTCACTCTTGGAAGTGAAAGTATGGAGTTCTAATCACTGGACCACTAGGGAAGTCCCAACAGGCTTCCTTTCTGAATAAAAGCTAAGGGAGCCTTGTTGAAGGTGTTTTTGCCTTTTGAGATTCTTTGCCGGGAGGGACAGCTCCAGACTCCCCTCTGTCCTTCAGGTTCACCTGCTCTCTACCAGTGGTCTCCAAAGTGGGCTGCATAGAAAGACTAAGAGGAAGAATAAAATGCCACAACTTCTCTTTCAGTAGATCTCATCCTTCTAAATATGTTGGGGCATGGGGCGCATCTAAGCACTGGCTGATAAAGGGCACGCAATCAAAACTGTCCACTTCTGCCCCATAGTCCATTGCTCTTGTTTGTTCCATCTGCTTCCATCTCCTCTCCTGGACTCAGGATAGACTCCCCTTTCTTGCCTCTCAGGTCCTGCCTCTCAGAGTCCACCAACAGTTCCTAGGCTCTGATCAGTCCTGCCCAAAGCCTTGAGCCCTTCCCAAAGTCTTCCTGAGCTAATACAGTCTCCATTCTGGAGTTATTTCTCCCAGTTCTGCTCTTTCTGTTTCTTGTCTAGAGCCTGTATTGTCTTCCTACATAGACTTTGTATTTTGTGTTGTTTAGTTCCTAAGTTGTATCTGACTCTTTTTGACCTGAGAGACTGTAGCCCACCAGGCTCCTCTGTCCATGGAATTTCCCAGGGAAGAATACTGAAGTGGGTTGCCATTTCCTTCTGCAGGGGATCTTCCCAACCCAGGGATCAAACCTGCATTTCCTGCATTGCCAGGAGGATTCTTTACCACTGAGTCATCAGGGAAGCCCATTTACATGTTATATTCACCCTGATTCAGATTTACCCTTTGAGAAGAGACTTTTTTGGTAGAGACTTTTAGGTGGCTTCCATTAATTTAGCTTTAGAAACTGATACTAGTGTGTGAGATAGATGTCTGAGTACCTGCTTCTCATTATTTATTGACAATTTTCCTTGAGACACAGTGCTTTACACATAGTAAGGACGTACATATTTGTGACTGGGGTAATTCTCTTTAGTACTGTAAATCTTTGAATGGTTAGAATCTTAGACTAGCAATGTGGTGTAATTCTTTGGTCATCTAGAGAGTTGGTCATCTAGTCCAACTCTTCCCATTATTTCAATTTATTGATCATATACTGTATTCAGGTATTAGAATGACACTTTACCTATATTATCTCTAATTCTCAGAATTAGAACTGGTAAATCCAGTCCCCCTGTTTTCAGACAAGAAATCAGAGGCTCAGAGATGTGATGCAGTTGAGTGGCAGTTTAGAAGTCAAACCATTAATTCCAAAACTCTTTCCTTTTTGGGGTGCTACCTCCTGCAAGGCTATTGTGTAGCCAGCCTTGAACATCTCTAGTAAAGACACCTATTACCTCATATGGTATCCCCTTCCATTTTAAGCTTTTAAAATGGTTGTTTTTTGGAGAACTTTGTAAATGAATGAGCACAACTGATGAGAAAAAAAACACTGTTGCAGCTTGGCCCAAAGCTCAACTGTGTTATTGAATGTGGTCACCAGTTGGATCTGGTTAGAAAGTCCCTGCAAAGAATGATGCCAAATAAGGCGTCTGTGCATTCAGTATGTGACAGCTGCATATTGATTAGCTGTGGCTGGAAGGTACATTTCATATACAGAGCATTTTCCTGTAAACAATTAACATCTGTTATTACCAGGGGGCTTGCCATAGTCTCAGTCTCTACAAAGATGCAAACAGCACATTCTATGATTTCATAGATGATCCTTGCATTTAGTACAATATTACTGATTACAGTGATTGGTTAATACAGAAAGGAAAATATTCTGCTAGGGTTTCATTTAGTTTTTTTTTCTTTTTAAAATTAAAAAAAAATTCACTGAGGCATAATGGACTTGCAGCATTATATTAGTTTCAGGTGCATGATGATTTGATATTTGTATGTATTGTGAAATGATCACCACAATTAGTCAACATCCACATCCACACCATACATAGTTACAAGAGTTTTTTTCCTTGTGTTAAGGACTTTTAAGATTTACTCTCCTGACAACTTTCAGATGTGCAATACAGTATTATTAATTATAGTCACCATGCTGTATCTTACATCCCCAGGACTTTTTTTATAACTGGAAATCTGTACTTTTTTGATCCCCTTCACCCCCACCTCCCGTATGGTATTTGTCTTCCTATTCTGACTTATTTTACTAGCATAATGTCCTCAAGGTTCATCCATGTTGCAAATGGCAAGATTTCATTCTTTTTTTTAATGGCAACGCATGAGTCTGAGCAAGCTCCGGGAGATGGTGAAGGACAGGGAAGCCTGGCATGCTGCAGTCCATGGGGTCACAAAGAGTCGGACCTGACTGAGTGACTGAACAACAGCAACAATATTCCATTTTTTATATATACATATACACATGGGTTTCCCTGGTGGCTCAGATGGTAAAGAATCAGCCTGCAATGTGGGAGACCTAGGCTCGATCCCTGGGTTGGGAAGATCCCCTGGAGGAGGGAATGGCAACCCACTCCAGTATTTTTGCCTGGAAAGTCCCCATGAAAAAAAGAGCCTGGTGGGCTGCAAACCCCTGGTGGGGTTGCAAAGAGTCAGACACCATGAAGCGACTAAGCACAGAACATATACACATAAACTACATCTTTTTTATCCATTCATCCATGGATGAACACAGGTTGTTTCCACATCTTGGCTATTGTTAACAATGCTGGATTGAACAAGGGGGTGCAGCTGTCTTTTCGAATTAGTATTGCCATTTTCTTTGGATAAATACTCTGGAGTAGAATTGGTGGGTTGTATGGTAATTGTATTTTAATGTTTTGAGAAATCTCCATACTGTTTCCACAGTGGCTGTACCAATTTACATTCCAATCAACAGTGTACAAGAGTTTCCTTTTCTTTCCTTTTTCCAAACTTCTCCAAAATTACTCCTTTTTTTTTAAATAATAGACATTTTAGCAGGTGTGAGGTGATATCTCACTGTGGTATTGAGTTACCCTTGTGGTTAGTAGTAATCTTGAGCATATTTTGATATACCTGTACATCTCATTTTTTAATGTATAGATTTTCCTTTTCTTTGAGGTACAATGTCTATTTGTTGAATGAATTTATCAACATAATTGTCTTGGCACCAATCATGAAACTAATTGAAGATATTGTATCTTATATAGTCAATATATTGATTTTTAAAGAAGGAGCATTTTTTAAGGAGCTTATGTAGTCCCTTGGTCACCCATAGGCATGTTTCTTTGAGCTCTTTGGTATGGGAATTCTAGAGTTAAAATGGTTTAGTTCTTTTTTAAAGTAAACATTTAATAAGAGGAAGCATTTTACTTTTATGCTTTCTTAAATTTCAATGACTGTATGATTTTGAAAAATATCAAATGGCTGAATATATGAATTTTGTGACATAAAAGTTATTTCCTTCTATATTCACTAAAAATATTCCCTTTATTTAGAAGTTGACAAATTGTAATGTTTTAGTTTTTATTCTTGGTCCCTACCTTGCTCCTCTAAACTTCTTTCCACCTATCTCAACTTTAGATACCTCATTCTCATACCTACTTAGTTCACTGATTAGAGATATCCCAGTGCTGAGCAGGGATTATTGAATAAATCTATAGCAAGCATTCAGGAGATAGGCCAGTTGTTTATTTAACAAGCAATGATATACACCACTTATGCTTATAGCCGGCACCAGATGTTCAAGGCATGAAAGGGCAGAGGAGCAAGTTGGAGCACAATAAAGAGAAGTTAGAATCATTCATCTTCTCAGTTGCAGGGGAAATGGGCCCACAATGTTTTAATGCAACCACTTTGTGATTACTTATATAATGCAGCCATTTTGAAACAAGCAGTATTTCAATGCTGCTTCAAACATCATTAAGTTTCCAATGTTTTTACTTCTCCGTAATTTGCTAGACAGACACCTGCACCCCATCCACAGAGGTCAGGGCTGGGGTGAGGGTTAAGCACCATCTGGCAAGAAAACCATGGAAAACTGGGAGTCATCCACACTTGTTTATCTCAGAGAGAACTGTCAATCCTGGGTCATTTGTTTCTCTTTCTCTTGGCATATATCTTAGTTCTCTGATTTCTCCTTCACCATAACAGTGCCTGGTCTCTCTCACTTCTGATAAACAAATAGATTTGAATGCAGAAGGATGGAACTTATTAATACTTTGTTTTCCACTTTAAACTGCATGAATGGTCTCTCATGTTTTGGAAGCTTTCTGATTATATTAACTTTAATTGGGTGAGTGTCAGAAGGGAAGAGGTTGGGAATGGAGTGGCTCTGTGGGCTACAATTCTCTCTCATATTGCCAGCTCCAGACTGCGCCGGAAATTCTCAGCATTTCTAACAGGTCCTTCAGTGAATTATGTATATTCTGTCTACTGGCATCAAACTCCTTTATAATAACTTAGGGGAGACAGGCCAAGCCAGGTCTCGTAGATGTCAACACAAGATAACACAACACTTTGTTTTCTCATATTGTGTAAACAAAACTAAAACGTATACCAAGTAATTGGATGTGCGTTTGTCAAAACAATAAATTTGTAAGACATTTTAAACAATTCAGAAATAAAGTAGAAATGAAAGTCTCATAAAGAAAGGGATTAGAGATGAAAGAAGGGTGACTAAAGGCTAATTTTCTTGTTTTATTCTATAATTTAAAAAGCAGTAGTGGTTTTACACTTACACCAAAAATCTTTTGACTTTGCTGTGCCACAGAACATTGTAACTCAGGAGAGACAATTACAACTGTACAACTCAGGAGAGTGTTGTACAAATATTATATGAGAAGAAATAAAATGGGGAAGGAAGAGAGAATTTCTCTTTGTGAGAAGGGCATGGGAATAACCTACCTTAGTTTCCAAACTGGAATGGTGTTGTCATTAGGGCTGATGTGGTTCTTAAATTCTACATCAGCCTCATGGTTGATGGCAGAAAATCATCACCCCAGTGAGGGATGGAGGCGAGTCCATTGTGAGGGGGAGGGGGCTCCTAAATCCTGTCCCATGTGGTTGGTGGTTTTCTTATATTCACTTAAGAAAAGGACTTTTATGGACTTCCCTGGTGATCCAGGACTTCCCTCATAGCTCAGGTGGTGAAGAATCTAATCTGCCTGCAATATGATCCCTGGGTCAGAAAGATCCCCTGGAGAAGAGAATGGCAACTCACTCCAGTATTCTTGCCTGGAGAATTCCATGGACAGAGGAGCCTGGCAGGCTACACCCCATGGGGTCACAAAGAGTTGGACCTGACTGAATGACTAAGACCTTCACTTCTTTCACTGGTGATCCAGGGGTTAAAAATCCACCTCGCAATGCAGGGGACACTGGTTTGATCCCTGCCTCAGAGCAACTAAGCCCGTGTGCCACAGCTACTGAGCCTGTGCTCTAGAGCCCGTGCTCCACAACAAGAGAAGCCACCACAATGAGAAGCCCGAACACCACAACTAGAGTGTAGCTACTGCCCTCTGTAACTAGAGAAAGACCATGTGCAGCAATGAAGATCTAGCACAGCCAAATAAATTTTTTTTTTTTAGGTGACTTTATTTTTTGGGACTCCAAAATCACTGCACATGGTGACTGCAGCCATGAAATTAAAAGACGCTTACTCCTTGGAAGGAAAGTTATGACCAACCTAGACAGCATATTAAAAAGCAGAGACATTACTTTGCCAACCAAGGTCCGTCTAGTCAAGGCTATGGTTTTTCCAGTAGTCATGTATGGATGTGAGACTTGGACTATAAAGAAAGCTGAGCACTGAAGAATTGATGCTTTTGAACTGTGGTGTTGGAGAAGACTCTTGAGAGTCCCTTGGACTGCAAGGAGATCCAACCAGTCCATCCTTAAGGAGATCAGTCCTGGGTGTTCATTGGAAGGACTGATGTTGAAGCTGAAACCCCAATACTTTGGCCACCTGATGCGGAGAGCTGACTCATTTGAAAAGACCCTGATGCTGGGAAACACTGAGGGCAGGAGGAGAAGGGGATGACAGAGGATGAGATGGTTGGATGACATCACTGACTCAATGGACATGAGTTTGGGTAAACTCTGGGAATTGGTGAGGGACAGGGAAGCCTGGCGTGCTGCAGTTCATGGTGTTGCAAAGAGTCGGACATGACTGAGTGACTGAACTGAGCTGAACTGAAAGTATTTTTAGGGACTTTCCTGGTGGTCCAGTGGTTAAAAATCCACATTTCCACTTCATGGGGCATGGGCTCGATCCCTGGTTGGGGAACTAAGATCCTGCATGCTGCATGGTGGCGCAGGCAAAAAATAATTTTTAAAACTTAAAAATAAATAAAAATAAATAATTTTAGAAGAAAAGGATTTTTAATCTGCATCTTCTAAGACAGAGGTCGCTAGTTCCCACACTCCCTCATTCTATGCTCTCTGTCATCCACTGTATCACCCTTCCAGCTGTTCTGCTAAAGCCTGTGCCACCAGGAGAGTCTTCATGTGGCTGTGTACATGCTATCCCCTGCACAACAGCCTGGTGACGGGACAGGGATGTCTGCTAGGCAGCCTGTAATCTGCCAGCTACACTCTGGGCCCAGGCATGGACTGTCTGCCCAGAAGAAGGAAGCGTTTTCCTGAGTCACCACTGGGCTGATAGCTGCCCCTGGGCCCTTGCACATGCTCTTTCTCTGTGCCTCACTCTACCTCAAATGCTTTCTGCCCTGACATTCTCCCTTCATTCAGTTTTCTAATCAGCAACACCATCTCTCCGAAAACTCTGCCACCCACCCAAGTGGCAAAATGGCAGACCCCGTCACTGTCTGCCTCCTTACCCTGCTTTCTTTTCTTTTGTTTTACTAGCTGACACTGTGTAATATATGATGTATATACTTATTCGTTCTTTCTCCCTACTAAAATAGAAGCTTTTTGAGGGCCAGAACTTTGCTCTCTGCTGTATCCCCAGCACCTATCAAAGGCCCTGGCCCACACTAGGCACTTAACATTTGTGAAGGGTTTAAAAGACACCATTCCTAAGGCCTTCCAAGTCCAGAGTTAGGCTCAGTTCAGAGCATTTGTATTGACCCTGCTCAAGCAGACTCTTCTCTGATGAACTGATCTCCACAGCCCAGAAAAGCTAAACCAAAAATAGAAAACACAAAAGCTGTTGGCTGTGAACCTCAGTGACAATGGCAGTGGTGTCTGCACTTCAGAATCAATCACTTAGGGATCTTAACAACAAACCAAACCCCTAAAAGATGCCTATCACCCCACCTTCATCCTCCTTTCCCCTCAGCGAAACCTGTGGAAAGAGGCCTGTTCATTTTGTGGACAAGTCATTTATCTGGAAAGAAAGAACATATAACATGAGCCATCATGATAGGAAGACTTAGCAGTGCTTTGATTTGAATTTTAAAGGTCAATTCTAAAGTAGTTTGTATCAAAGAGAATTCCTCAAATCTCTTCTATTAATAGCATCATTTCACACCCCGGCAGCTCTGCGGAGGCTATTTAGGATTCTGTCTCACCATGGTTTCACCTAAACTGAGATAATAAAGAAGCAAATGTCAGTGCGGATATAGCACTACTGAGACACAAAAAATTTACACCCTCTTTCCCTAGGGCCTGAGCTTTTAGAACTTAACAGATCCTTTTCCTGAAAGTCTGGTTTAAAATGCTTGGAGGTTTGTAAATGTCTCAGAGCTTTTAAGACCACAGCACAAATTAAAAAAAAAAATTAACTGAAGTGTAGTTTATTTACAATATTATATTAGTTTCAGGTATACAATGTAGTGATTAATATTTTTGTAGATTATACTCCATTTAAAGTTATTATAAAATATTGGCTATTTTCCCTGTGTTTTACAATATATTCTTGTAATTTACTTATTTTATGCATAGTACTTGTTACCTCTTAATCCCCTACCCTTATTTTGTCCCCCCTCCCTTCCCTCTCCCCTCAAGTAACCAGTAGTTTGTTCTCTACATCTATGAGTCTGTTTTGTTATATTCATTCACTTGTTTTATTTTTCAGATTCTACATACAAGTGATAGCATATAGTATTTGTTTTCTCTCTCTGACTTACACTCCGGGTCCATCCATGTTTGCAAATAGCAAAATTTTGTTCTCTCTTATGGTTCACAGTCCACTGCGTATATACACCCCATCTTCTCAAGCCACTCATCTGTTGATGGTCACTTGGTTGTCTCCATGTCTTGGCTATTGTAAATAGTGCTGCTGTGAACATTGGAGCACATGTATCTTTTTGAATTAAAGTTTTAATCTTTTCTGGATATTTATCCAGGAGTGGGACTGCTGGGTCATATGGTAACTCCATATTTAGTTTTTTTAAGGAACCTCCATACTGTTTTCATAGTAAGCCCTGACTTTGAGTCAGATAAGCCTGGGCTTGAAACATGACTTTGTTATCTACCAACTGGATGACATTGGGCAAGTTGCTTCACCTCTGTTCTGCAAAGGGAACCCGTAAGTAATGCTGTCTTACAATTTTGTTGTGAAGATTGAGTATAAAAAGTGCTAGACAGAGACTAGGTATCAGTAAAGGGTAGCTGTTACTGTTCTTCCTACAACCCCCCCCCCCACAACTTTGTTGTTGTTCAGTGGCTAAGTTGTGTCCGACTCTTTGCGACACCATAGACTGCAGCACGCCAGGCTTCCCTGTCCTTCACCATCTTCTGGAGTTTCCTCAAACTCATGTCCATTGAGTCAATGATGCCATCCAGCCATTTCATCCTCCTTCTCCTATTGCCTTTAATCTTTCCTAGCATCAAGGTTTTTCCAGTGAGTCAGCTGTTCGCATCAGGTGACCAAAGTGTTGGAGCTTCAGCTTCAGCATCAGTCCTTCCAATGAATATTCAGGGTTGATTTCCTTTAGGATTGACTGGTTTGATCTCCCACAACCTTACCTGAGGAAAAACAAACCAAGCAATGGATATTACAAAACACTAGTTTAAGATGATACAACTTTCAAGAGTATTTACTTATTTATTTCAGTTTTTTACTGGAGTATAATCGCTTTACAATGTTTTTGTTAGTTTCTGCTGAAAAGCCACATGAATCAGCTATATGAATACATATATTCCCTCCCTCTTGAGCCTCCCTCCCCAACTCCATCCTACCTCTCTAGGCCATCACAGAGCATAAGCTCATTTTTGGTGGAGATCCTTGAAAAGAGCCATTGAGATCTAAAGAGATGAACGTCAGTAATGGCCCTCCCTGGTGGCTCAGATGGTAAAGAATCTGCCTGCCGTGCAGGAGATTTGGGTTCAATCCCTGGGTTGAGAAGGTCCCTTGGAGAAGGGATTGGCTACCCACTCCAGTATTCTTGCTTGGAGAATTCCATAGGCAGAGAAGCCTGGTGGGCTGCAGTCCACAGGGTCTCATAGAGTTGGACACAACTGAGCGACTAACAATTTCAGTAATGGGGTGGACATCTGGGCAATGCAGTTACATGCAGAGAGATAGTTTAGGTGTTAGGGCAACGGTTTCCCCTGATGGTGCCTGAAAGAAGCCTGTGTGAGGAAGACATGTGAAGGCATGAAGACAGATAAAGAGGTGTTCAGGCAGGCAAGCAGGCAACCTCAGGGCAGGTGGCCACAGTCAGGTCACACCATCTAGTTAGCCTGAAGGAGGGACACAGGACAAAAACCAGAAACCCAGAGGAATCGAAAGGCATGCTTGTAGGTCAGAGTAGCTGACAACAGGGTGATCCCTTGGGAGGTGAAGGGGACCATAGAACCTGACCTCACGTTCAGTCCTGGAAAGGTTGGCGGTGGGCAGACTGTCCAATCCCAACATGCAAACAACTGCTTCTGTGCTTCCCTCTTTTAAGTCTGGTAAGAGTAGCTTCTGTGTGTTGATGTCTCAGTTGCCATTTATTTTCATTTTCATAAGAATAATTTTGAAAAAATAGAGAATTCTGGGGAAAATACAATAGTGTAAATGCTCTTCTAATCTTCCTCAATATTCATACAGATGTTTCACATAATTATAATCCATGTGTGAATTCTGTCTTCTGTTCTAAATGTAGATATTTCCATGAATTAACATAGTACACATCCTTCCCATTTTTAAAACCTCTGTAATCCTTCATCCAGGTTATATCAAAATTCCC